AAGTTCTGGATCATAAATTTATACAAATAAAGCATGTTTATATTCAAGCAGAATACACAGTCAGTTATTCTCTGGAGTTCAAAGGCCAACTTCAGTGTCAGGTTTTGACTGCTGCTTCACCGATATTTGGAACCAAACTGGAGTAGAGTCACAGCTCCTTTAGTTTTAACTACAGAACCAATTCATCCTCCTACAGGCCCAGGAAATCATCCAACCAGCACACACCCCTTTTTGAGTCCCACAGAACTTATTATTTGAACAGCACAACCAAGTCAAGCCACCACCTTTAGGAGCTAACAAGGGCTCCTCACTTAATCATGTGCAGAACCCAAGTCCACAGTATTTCCAATGATTTGCCTGTTTTGACCTGTGATACTACCTTGGAGCAGGAATTTGAAACTTTATCATTAAACATCAGAAAAGAAGTGGGAGACAGAATAATCAGGCTTGTCCTCCTCTAGAGGTGAACTGATTCCTGCTCATTTGGGACTCAATTCATGGTTTCTCTGCTTGCAGTGATCAACACATGGATGATTTTTGTCACTTTTAGATCAAGACCAACTGATGTAGTGAGAAACAACATCACCTTTTTGAATCCTCCTCAAAGCTCCTTCAATTGTTTTTGAGACCTGATGGTGCTCCAATTCACACACTGTGATTTAACTTGAATCCAAGTCACGGTCTGTCAAACAAATATCAAAGCACTTATGACAGAAAGATGCAAGCGCTGAGATAACTTCAGAAAGCTACACCAAGCACTCCTGGGGATGATCCCCGAGAGGCAAAAGGATTCAGTCCTCGTAAGGGGAAAAAAAAAGTAATCAATTTCTTGCAAGTTTAACAATGGATAGAAAAATAGGTGCATCCCTGAAATTTGAGGTATTTCTGGTCAGTGCTAGTTGCATCCCTGTCAACTGCACTTAAATCATTCTCTGCACATCCATGCTGTAGCAATTAATCTTGATGACACAAACCAGTGGGGGTTTTTTTATTATCCTGGGACACAAAATCCTGTTCATACAGCTCAAAAGGGCCAGAAGAAAACCCCATTAAAAACATCTTCTGTCCCACAAGTAATGCCTAATAAGCAAAGAATAAGCTCTTGTATTCGTTTCAGAAGAGATAAAATTCATCACAAGAGCAGAACAGAAAGTTTATTCCACCAGTTATAAACATATTTTGCTTTCAAGAAAGAAAACAACCGATTATGTACTGTCTTCCTCCAAGAGCAGAAAGTTGGTTTACAACAGCAGAACCACCTATTATTCTGCATGGTAACAGGTGGAGGGTGCTGGGGAAGGGATTGCTTGGTTATTAATAAAACCCAAAGACCTCAGGATATTGCCTGGCTTCAAGACTCATTAAAGACAGTGGGAACGCCATGAACTTTAACAGCCTTTGAGTGAGCCTACACTTCAGATTGCTATCACAAGAAGATACTACACTTTCTACAGAAAATTATCTCTGCACCCTTTAAACAGACTTAATCCAGGAACTACGGCTGCCCCATTTATTCTTCTCCATCAATAAGCAGCGCATTCTGCAAAAAAGAGTCTAGAAAGAGCTTCTTGAAACTGCTATATAGCAGAACTTGAGCTTGGGTGCTCAGCAAGAGGACAGGATAGAGTTGCCTGCCTGCAAACTCAATGCCAGCAAAATTCCAGAAAACTACAGAATTGATTACCACAAGCCAATGGGGACAATGCCATTCAAAGTGTCTCACCAAGACTGATCTCCACAGTAGTCAGCTCCACCCCAATGCATGATATTTTATTTGGAGGTAAACTTTGCCTTGAAGAAGGTGTATTTCACTTTCTGTGGTAATGCTTTATATCTTAAAACAACCAGTAGATAGAAATAATTCCAATAATCTGAATACCAAACATCAATATTAGTTTTTCTTTTTCTGATCATCAATGGATCAAAAGGTAAATGAAGCATAAAATGATAAAAAGTAACAAGAGATTTTGTTTCTTTTACTCAGTTCAGGAGGTAATTGGTCAGTAAAAAATTGCTGCATGAGGTGTTTTACTAGTAGAACACTCTTTAAAAAGTATTATATATACACATAAATACATTGCTGTGGTATTGAAATTTAATACATACTGGCTTGGAAATTTATTGTGTTTCTATTCCCTGAATAGCATGCATAAGATCTAAAAATCTGTCATTATTGCAATATGCTGATATTAGCTTTTGACCAATCAAGCCATTGCAGTCTTTATACCCTCTTCATCTATGATAAAGCTGCTAACATTTATGATTAAACTGCTTTCCACTACATGTGCATCATTTATTTATTTTCAGGACACAGGATGCCAAACATAATGTTGATTCACAGAAAATGAAGTTTTAAAAAATACAGCATGGCATTTGTCTACAAGATTGTTAAAAAAAAAAGATAGCATGTTTTAACTGAAAGTTAAACAGCAAGCACATCATAATCACTAGCCTACCACATGAGTGGCAGAACTGGTGTATCAGATATATATGGGAGGTTTTCCTCTTCAGTTTCTGTAAATCCACAACATTTCAGACACAGGCATCTTTGACTAATCTCACAGAGAGATGTGCAAAATTAGACCACTGCTTAAAATCATATCAAATTACACTGTATTTAGCCCTTCTGTAAAATTGCCTGGTTTTATCATAATGTTGAAGTTTCTTTGGTAAATTGAGGAATAGTATGGTGTGCTTCACTTCACACCAAAATATAGCATTCACCTGCCTCATCCTTAAGCCCTAAAAGCTTCTTCTGAAAGTAAGCTGCTATAAATCTCTGAGTATAAGAAACTTGGAGCTGTTTTATTCTCTGGCTGTCAGTGGTTCACAGGTAAGTCAGAAGCCTTTATTATCTCTAAGAATCTATCTAAAAAAAAAAAAAAATAACCTACCTGAATCCAAAAGGAAGGTGAATAAAGCATTCCACAGGAAGGCAGCAGTAATCTGCTCAAACAATTCAATGGGTATTCTCAATAAGAAAAGCTGTCCCTGTGGTTTTCATGGAATTATATTCGGCTAGATTCTTTCAACTTGTCCAGCTTTCCAAGGGCAAGTTAAGGTGGTTTACACTGCCAAACCATGATTTCCAGCCTTATAACAATAGGGCATGTTAATGCTGGCAGCAATACAAAGAAGTCGCATTTTCATACCAATGTACTGTTTATGAACAATAGCGCACTTGGTACATACAGCCTTGCTCCATCATCACCCATGCATGCTTTGGGGATTTTTTTTTTCTTTACTTAAATACAAGTCATTCAAGTGTTCTGTTTACTGCAACTATGAAGTGAGAAGGGTGAACTCCTACTGTGCTTATACACTTGGGTACACTCTATGTAGTGCACTCAGATGTATTCATCAGGTTAGCATGGAAGCAAGAAACCAACTCAGGAAAATAAATGAAAGTTCTAACCCAGTTTTCTACATCCAGACAGCAGTGGTTCAGACGAAGACAAAAAGGCACTACCCTGCCTGAAAAGACAATATTGTGTCATTTGAACATGCAGCAGGTCCAAGAAGCAAATCCTGTCACAGGGGGTAGTGCTCTAAGTACATCTCACCCCTGTGAGGGCTACCAGGGCGGAATTGACTTGTGTGCATTCTCACCACCGGCATAACTAACATATCAAAGATATTGAGAGGGCTACTCCCCTGTTTCTAACTGCAATCTACTAAGTTAGCTGACAAACTCCCCAGGAAGGCTACACAAGAGCCAAGTACCTTTTTAAATGCTCAGGCATAAGGCATCAGTAAATACGCTCTGATACAATCTGATACCTGAGCAATGACAGGTATGGCAGTAGCCTGAGGGGCTACGTACAAGATACAGCATCTTCTGCTTTTTGCACAGCTCTGTTCATTTCCTAAAGGTAGAATTAAGCAGCAAACACTACTGTTTGACATTTAACAACACGGGCTTAGTCAGTGGTCCCAAAGCAGTTAACGGAGAATAGCTATCACCATAAATAAGCAACTATAAACACCTGTCCAGTTTGATGACAGTCCATCAAAATCAGAAAGATGTCTGGTAGTATGAGAACTAGACTAACTATCCTTCCATTCTCTCTCTCTCTAGCGTTCCAGAAAAGGCTTACAAAAGGAATGAGTGAAAGCCTTTATTGCTAAAATCTTTGCTGTGCCTATTATAAAAAACTCCTGGCTCCACAGGGAGGCAGCTACCCACCTTTTCAGAAACGCAGGAAATAGTAAAATGGTAGGTATGAGGCAAAAAAAGCATAATTTGTCAAAATAGATTGCTAGTTACAGTTAATGCCCCCGCAAACACGCTTGAGGAGCGACACACGCGCTATAAGGCATTCTGCAATCTAATTCGGTTACGCTTGCCTGAAACATAACACAAATCCCAGCACAACACAGGCTCCGACTTAATTAGATTCCCTAAGAAAAGTCAGTCTGAGCCATATGGTATTTTCCTCAGCAGTTACGATAAACTGACCTTGATACTAGGAAAACGCACGCTGCTTCTGTCTGAGGCATAAATTACAAGCGCAGCGTGGCGGGATGCTCCCACGAAACGGGGACAGCGGCAGCGCCACATTGAAACCCTCCCCGGGCTCCCGGGGAAGTTGATCAGAGTAAAACACTCCAATGATAAGGATGATGATGATGCACTGCAGTGACAGCGCTCGAAGAGCCACGCGGCCAGCAGAACACCACGAAGCTGCTCAGACATCTGTCCGGTAATTAAAGCACAGCCTAATGCCGCGCTGCCGCGGAGGAGCGGCCCGCCTCGCTCCTGGACGCCGCGGAGAGCGGCGGCCCCTCGGCCACCGGCCCGCCCGGACCCCCGGCCCTACCCGGCCCCTCCCCAGCGGCGCGGGGCCCCCCACGGCCCGAGCCCGCCCGGCCCCGACGGGCGCTGCGGCCCCGCACCTCGGCCCTGCCGCAGGCCGCCCCACGGCGCGTCCGGCCCCGCGCTGCCGCGGCAGGGGGGCCCCCAGCCCAGCCCAGCCCGGCCCGGCCCCGGCCGTACTCACCCCCGGCCAAGTGCGAGGGCTGCACCGCAATGGCAGGCGGGCGGGAAGCGCCTCGCTCTGGGGCACGGGCAGAGGCACCTCCGGCGGCTGCGCCCCGTCCCTCATGCACGGCGGGGTCTGCGGCCGCCCCGCGCCGGCCCCCGGCCACCAGCTACGCGGAGCCGCCGGGCACAGGTGCCCCGATCCCGCTCCGCACCGGCCAGTGCAAGGCGAAAGCCGCTGTCTCCTCCTCCTCCTCCTGCTGCTGCTTCTGCCGCCGCCGCTGCTGCTGTCGCTGTCGCCTTCAGCCCTCCCCGCTCCGCCGGACGCGCCGAGTGCTGCTGCGGTGCCAGCGGCGGCAGCTCCCGCCGCGCACCGGCACCTGCCCGGGCGCTGCCGCCAATCGCCGGCAAGGGGCCGGGCAGGGGCGGGGGCGGCGCGGCCGGCAGGGGCGGGATTTGCGCGAACCTCCGCGCCCCGGTGCGCATCCATCCCCAAAGCTGCGCCCCCGACAGGCAAGGACTGCGCTCCCGCCGCCCCGGCGAGTGCCCCGGGGCCGCCGCCCGCCGCTGTCACACCCGCCGGCCGGGGGGGACACCTGCGGCCCGGCCGCCACCTGAGCCCCAGCTGGCGGGGAGAGGCACAGGTGCTGCCCGGCGGTGCCTGTCCAGGCCCTGCCGGGTGCGGGCCGCCCGTGGCGGGTGTCTAGCAAAGGAAAGGAGAGGCCGTTTTGTTGGGAACGGACGAGAATTTCATCCGTATGGATGCGGCGCACCGGGCAGTCGTAAGGAAGGTGCGGCCTGGTCAGTCGCTCAGCTCATCTGTGAGTCACTGCTCTAACGTGGAAGCGCTTTTTTATGTCCTGAATCACTGCAGATTTTATTTGTAACAGGCTAATTACTTTTCTCCTGGTATTATTTTTCGTTCCCCTTTTTTTGTTGTTGTTTTTTTTTCCATGCTTGCTTAACTGCATTTTAAAGTAGCTGCAGCTGTTCACTGCAAGGTATGGACTTATTTGATCTCAGCCAAAGTGCTCTGTCAAGACAGATGAATTCAATAAACTTTGGCAGGTGTTCAAAGAAAACATTTTCTGGGAGAGTATTTTTGTTTACATGAATTTCACGGTATAACAAATTAACTAGTTTAGCAAACGTTTACTTCTATGCTAACCTACACTTGCCTCTGTTAGTAAAATGGGTGCCATTCCATGAGGCAGACATCACATTCATTTTAAATGTGTATGCAAAGAACAAACAAACAAAAACAACTTTAGGAAGTACTCTGCATCAGACATCACTTTGTATTTCCCAAACACATCTATTGGTAAATACATGTCTCTCGGTGTTTCCCAAACAGAAGAAATTTCTTCTTTAAATAAAACAAGAAAAAGAAGCAGTCATTTTCAGCAGTAACATTTTTTCAAGAGCAACACGACATGGCAACAAATCAGGGATTGACTTAAACAATAGGTCACACATTGCCTGTGTTAGAAGAGTAAGCGATAACACACTTGAGCACTTTTAATAATTGGAAAAAGATCTGGATAGAAACCCCTCTCCAATATTCCAGCTGAAACACTGGAAGAATGATTCCAGCTGAAACACTGGAAGAATGATGTTTTAAAGTCAGCCACCAATACCAGTAATTCTAGAATGCTTATGATTATACAACCATTAAGTTAAACAGATAAAGCTGTCTGAGATCCTGCTCCTCACACTCAAGCTACTGCGCTAATACTGAGTTCAAGAGTAATGTCTCGCCCTTGCCTCAGCATTCTGCAGTTAGGTACACAGAGTGTATTTTCCTTTCAAGGTAATATTTCACATTTTCACCACTGGAGATAAAGCATTGGACTTGAGACCCTTCATTCCACACCAGTACAGTAACCAATACATTTTTACATGTTTACATGTAAATCAGTATATTTTTACATCTTTATATTTACATGTTTTTACTGCAAGAGTACTCCACAGGGAAGGCATTAATCAGTGACACAGATAAGCCAGCCGTTAACAACTGACAGAGTGCCACTGAAAGAGGGGAAAGGGAACCATGCAAAAGTGAAGAAATACTGTAATTACCTTGTGGCTACTGTGCTGGAATTCTCAATTTGTATGTCTCTCCACTGTACTTGTTAGATGCTCTATTTGTCCTCATCTACAGGTTTTGGTGTCTCACTTGGAGAGAAAACAACTTCTCTTTACATCTGTAGCAGGTGTTTCACAGTAAAAAAAAAAGAAAACAAAACAAAACAAAACCCCCAAACCTGCATAAAATCTCTTTTTCACCCCTACAAGCCAAATCATAAGGGATAGATGGGGAAACTGAGATATGCCAGGCTTTCCCTGAAATCACATGAGATACGGCCATTGACTAATAAAAATAAGTATCTAAATAAGCCTGCAGAATAAACAGAAGTCAAAGGAAGAGAAACTATCCAGAGGCAAGTCCCTAGTGGTGGCATGGCAATTTTTACCCCATGAGCAGCATGTGCCCAAGCACCTTCCCCCCCAGTGCCTGGCAGTTGCAGAGGGGAGCAGGGCACTGAGAGGTGCAAGGGATACAGGCAAGAGTGAGCCATCATCAGGGAAAGAAGACTGCCCTGCATGCTTATTTCACATCCTATAGCTCTGAAATTCCCAGTTCTCCATATATTGACAACAGTTAAGATAAACTACAGACCGTGCACTCTTTCAGTGATAATAACCTCAGTGTGGAGACAAGCAAAAAAGAAGTCGGGCCCAGGGAACACATGTGTAGTAACAGCAACCATGGTGCTGTTTAGGCAGCAGCATGAGAAAAGTCTTGTAAAAATGGGAGGTAGATCCGGTAATAACGGGGTGCAGGACAAGAAAATAGTGTGTTTTCATGGTGGTAAGTTTCTCTTGTCACAATACAGCCTTTTTCCATAAAGAAAAAAGTCATCCAAATGCAGACCGAAATAAGCAGGCTGGTATTGCTTGGAATGCTCAGCACTAAATCCAGTGACGCCATAACAGTGGCTACAAGGCTGCAGTGGCTGAGAGGTGACTCTTCAGGCTGTCCCCAAGCTGTGCTGCGTAACCAGCAGGCTGCACTGGTGTAAGGAGGTCAGGGCAGCCTGTGGGACCCTGCCTTAGCCAGACAGCAGTAGTTCTGGGTCAGAGGCCCCACTCTACAAAGAACTCTCTGCCCTCAGCATCAATGGAATGGGGCTGCTAGTCATAGGAAGATTTTTGGAGCACAGTTCATATGATCAGGAGATTTGGCCATCTTTTGTACAGCATATGATTGTTGCAAAACCTTCAAATAGTTTTTTGGGAAAATAAGATTTTTGCTGGTTTGGTATTCCCTCAGAGGATACCCAGGGCGGTGCAGAAATATGATGTTGGCCAATGTGCACAGTCATGCTGGATTATTCGTTGACAATCACAGGTTACTCCAGGAGGCCTTTATGAAGCTTGCTTTCTGAGTGTCCCAACTTTCTCAGTTTTATAGGGAGTTTTATAGGGAAATTGGAGATGCAAATATGGACAGTACCTGCTGATTTGCCACCAGCTGCTATGTTAGCCACAAGGACAAATTATGAATTTATTCCAGCCTACTGGTATCTCAGGGCAGCAAATGAAGACAGTAATAAATAATTAAGTTTCTCTTAATTTCAACTGATCTCTTAAGACCTCAGAGTATTTTCACAAAGTTTAAATAACAATAATTTGAGGGTAATAGCTTGTAAGTCATTGTAACATTCTATCTTAGGGTCCTAAAGAACTTCATAAACGTAAATAATTTTTGCAAAATGTCCATGCAAAACATAAAGTATTATGATAAATAAGTTAAAATATTTAAGTTATTCATAGGCCATAAGAAAATGAGTACAAAGAGAAAGAACTGAAAAGAATGGACACATTTTTAACACTACTTCATATATAGGGCATTACATTTGATATTACATTTTGCCATGACTTTCCTTTGGAAATTTCAACAGCCATGCTCCCTGCCCCACAAGCCTCACAGTGTATGGAGGAGCTCTGATAAATGCTAAGTGTGGAAAGAGTAAAAGGAAATCTGAGAGAAGACAGGATAAGGGTTATATACCTACACTAGTTAGGGAGAGAGCTTGAGGAAGTTTGGTATTTACCAAGCAGCAAAGAATTCAGGCAAGCGAATGCTTAGAAAATACACAAACTTACCAAACACTCACAACTGGGATGAAAACAGTTGTAGACATACTGTAACTAATGCAGAAAGAACAATTTATGATCAGTGGGAGGAGAAAAAGGAGGGGTTTTTTTTTGTTATTTTTGTTGTGGTTTTGTGGTCAATGAAAAGGCAATAACAGGAATATGAGTTCGTAAGAGAGATGGTAGAGAAAAAACATATGATACATAATTAGTAAGAAAAATTCTTTCCATGATTATTGGTAAGAATGGGAATAATCAGAATGCTAATAAGTTGTAGAAGAGAACATGATGCTGCTGTATTGCTGTTACTGTAGATTTCCTCATTCTTTCTGGGTGCATAAATGCAAGCTTGAAGGTGTTTGCAGAAGAAGCTGCATGCAAAGAAATGAAGACTCTTTTGGTGCTCTTCCCTTATGACTGTCACTAAATGGGTATGGGCAACGACATTAAGTTCCTACATTTCTGCAAGTAAAAAGAAAATTCTTAAAAAGGTGTGGTGACTTCTTCAATTTCCCTGAAGAATAGACTTCATTTCTTGGCAGTGGCTGAAACATATGAAACAATGTGAGGATGTCCTTCATCCTCAGGGGGTGGTTTTCTGTTTCTTTGTTTATTTTTTCTCCATTTAGCCCCACCTTTCAAGCAATAACTCCTTCTTAGTCATCAATCCGAGGATGAGCAAGCAGCAGGAGGGATGTGGTCCACTGATGCTTTTCTTTAGAGCTGCAATTGTGTCCTGGGCAAAGTGGCACTGAGGATGTGGTAGCATCTCCAGTATGGCTCAGCTCTGCTCTCTTCTCCACAAATTGAAAAAAAAAAAAAAAGAGAAAAAGCTCTGTGGTGCCCAGGGGAGGAATAAGAAAAACCACGCAAGTCTCCAACTAAACAGGAAAATGCTCATATTAAGCAGGATTTGACTTCACAGATTCAAGCACTGAACAAACAGGAGCGAATGTTGGTTTAGCTCTTGATCTCTTGTGTAGTGATATGTTCTTTCAGCTTCATTTGATTTCTTTGTACCAGAATCAACAGACAGCTGTGAAATTTTGGGTTTAAAACAAACCCATCTAAAACTATTATGCCTGCAGCTCTCTTTTGGGTTCATTGCTTCAATTCTCTAGCACAATCAGGA